AAAAACCTATAATGAACTCAAAATATTATTGATTTTGAACTTGAAATTTTTATTATATGTAGTGTCTATTTCAGTTTAAAAATTTATAAGTCAGGAAATGCCTGAGGCTGAAAAAATAATAAACTATTGACAACTACTCTATTGTGCTACATGCCTCAACTAGCACTGAATTACACCAGCAATATCCAGTAAATAGCTAGTAATTAAAAATGATCCAAAATAGAAAATTAAAATGATAAGTACATATGTCCAAATATTATTGTTATAAAAACAAATACCTACCTGACAGTGAAATTGTTAAATAATGTATAATTTCAAAAAAATATCTTGCATTTTTGTTACCCTTTCCAAAGAGCAACACGTAAAAATAGCCATTCCTTATTTTATTAGGACTGTTTCATCAGGTGGTTTCATATTTCAATAAAATAAAGTTATATATAAAACTTTTACAATAAAAAGAGATATTTTCAAAAAGATATTTCAAAAGTGTTCGACCATATTTAGACTAATGTTATTTTTTACATTTTTTAAATATTTTGCATACCTAGATTTTTGATAACGAAGAGCATTGTTTGGTTTCATTTGCTAAGATATTTTAGGAAAGAAATTGTTTGATTTATTTAAATTAGCTCAATACCAGGATCGAAGTTCAATCACACTCCTTGATGAGTCCACAGAGGTGCTATAGTAAACTCCGCCTTAAGTCTGGACAACTGACCTCTGGATTGCCCATCTTTGGACTGTAGTCGCCTGGAATGGGTGATGGACTTGTAGTCTGACTTGGTAGTGTGGTTTTGTATTGTGATTCCTCAGTTTGAATTTCGCAGTCTTCGGAGAAGTTTTTATATTCCGAAATCCGAAACTGGGGTGATTTTGCATTTACCGATCTATTTCTAATATTAAGGAAAATATTATCAAATGTGTATACTAACAATAAACCTTTTAGATTCTTTTGGCCATATTTCCCTTATTATTAGAGATAGACCCGTCCTTAGAACAACCCATAATAGACCACTCTACCCAAATATCTACAAATATAAAGGGTATTCTGTCAAAAAAATTATGTTAACTTTGTGTCTCCAAAATACAACATTTATTACGTACAGTTTTGCAAACAAAAGAAAATTTCCTGCAGCTGTGGCCCATACTATTTGTTTATAAATGTAAAAGGAAAAGAGTAAAGCAGCCTTCAAAGAAAATATGTTATCTCTCTGTTTCTAATAACTATAATATTATTGTGGACAAAGAAAAACAAGAAATTCAGCTACTCCGTATTTGTAGATTTTCCTAAGAGCGAGCACCTCAAGATTTCGATATACACCAGCTCCATGGCGGGAATATGGCCGTTTGTATTCCAAGAAAACTCAACTGAACGTCGGCTCTATGACATCTACTTCAGATATTTGTTCTACTACTTCATCCTCTTCATTTTCTCCGCCATCGTTCAATTCTTCATCATAATTCAAGACTATGAAACCGGGGTGCAACAAGTAATGAACAATCTTTGTGTTACCCTTCCTCATTCAATCTGTGCTATGAGGTTGTGGTCTATAAAAGGTGACACTATTCAAAATTTGATAAAAGGTATCTTGGCTACCGAAAAAGGTATTCTTGAAAGCAACGACGAGGGGACTATTAAAATATACAAGTTCCACGCAAGGAAAAGTTACATTACTATCTTGCTGTACACCAGTAATTTGACGATGGGTAAGTAAAATAATAGATATAGTAAACTTAAAAATACAGTGAATAGGATCATCCTAGATGTGTGTAAATATGACCTTAATAATATAGAAAAATTATCAAATTTCATGACATTTTCTACAACCTTAATTTTTAGTGGTATTTAAAATTACCAATCTTTCCTTCTATTTCAACAATTCCTTTAAAATCATAATTGTCACACTGACAGTACACAGTTATCTGATATATAATTAAATTACCGTTTTCAGGAAATATATCTTATTCAATCATTCAACGATTCTGCTCGTCTATATTAATACTAAAATATTTGTAATTATGATTAAAAACAACATTCTCGTGCATCTTTATTCATTTTTATTTTAAAATATGGGTTGCCTCATGTCCCTAAACAACCCCATCCGCAATCGACATCGTCAAAAGCCGATGCTATCAACGGTGTCATCGAGAACGACGCATTGGGGAAACTGCTAAAATTTACCGATCTTTCCAAAGTTCCCGCCATCACTGTGAAAAACCGCTCCCAGCAATCCTAAATCACCCCGCCGCGCCGTAGCAATCGACAGCGCGAGAGATCTATGCTGTTAGCGCAACAGTAGTTGACAACGAGGCAGTATAGAGGAGAACGAACCGTTCAGATTTCGGCGACCAAAAGTTCTCCGAATTCGACGAAATCCGAATTAAAGAAAAGCAGAACGTAATACTAATTACCTACCTAAAAACAAATACAGAGGGATGCCTAGTCCAAGAGATCCGTACTTATCTATAGTAGGATCATATTCGATGCAAAGTAATAAATCATTGCCTGTCAAGGGAACCAATGCAGACGCTTTTAAGGGTTTTACGACCACGACGATCACTTCGTACACTAGATGCACCTGGGCGACTACAGCTAGTACCAGAACACAGTGCGTATGCGGCGGGATTTCAGATTTTACATTCGATTTCATTTTAAATTTGAAATAGTTCAACTTACGCCTCCTAAAAATGATGACACGATTTTCCTTTGATAAAAGACCGACAATTTTTTGCTCTACTTTGCATCGAATATCGCTCCTATTTGACTGGCCAAATTCATTCATAAATTAACCCACTATCCCCATCGATCCAGGAGCCGCTACTAGTGCCTCAAAAGGAGGCAATTTGATGTTTAATATTTTAACAGGATAATCAATAAAAGTAATAAATAAACAATGATAAATACATAATTAGAGAGATCGTAGGGCGTTGATCGCAATGCCGACTGGATTCTGACGGCCTAAATTGCCAAATGCCATGTAGTAGCCAAGCGTATGCCCTTAACAGGTCGATAACGTAGCTTATATGCTCTATGTAGGCAAATTTCCTCGTTATTCAAAGTTAATTTAATGAAATTAATTTTGTTATTTACAACTTATAGGTATATTTAACCTGGTCACCATATACTGGGCGTTTCTGAAATAACTGCGTTCGTTTTGAAAGAGTGATAGAGGGCACGAAAATGAGCAACTTTTATTAAGCAACTGATGGTCTAAATGCTTCTTTTTTCGAGAAAATTAATTAAGAAAATTAACCATAAATGTAAACCGACACTGTGCATCTTGTGCATGTGAACGGCCAAAATACTTCGGACTCGCTACATGTGTAAAGCTCTTCTCTAACGTTCCACGTGACTTCCACAATCAAGCAAATCTGATGGTAGGTCAGTATGGCTTGTGTTCATTAATTGTGTATTGCAGTATTACTGGCCGTGTGGATTTTTTTTCATTTAAAATAATAATTTAATAAAAGTTGTCCATTTTCGTGCCCTGTATCACTCTTTTCAAGGAATGTTGTTATTTCAGAAACCCCTGTATACATTAGTAAATTAACCCGGCCCACATAATATTCTCCAATACATTCCAAAGTGTCACGTGATTTTTGGGTAGCAGCAGTGTTGCTGTTGAAACTACATTAAATTTACCTAATATCTTATAAATACATATATTAATAACATAATATTTATTATGTATTTTTATATAAAATACTTAGCACGTATAGCTATTCGCATAATATTCACAAATAGCGTTTTTAAAGGATACAAACGTGTTTATTACATACCTAAATTACGCAGGGTAGTTTTGTTGCTTTCAAAATAAGTCATTATCAAATAAGATATAAAAAAAAACAAATCAAAGTCGAGACTAATAGACTATTGATTTTAGATCTGCACGACAGAATTGCGGAGACATTATTATTTTCTTAGGCGTCTTCACACTAGTGCTCTCCCACTGGGGAACAATACAATATTTGTCATTTTTTTCTGTTCTGCGTCTTCCATATTGCTAACAAAATTCGGTATCTTAACGTACTTAATCGAAACTTAACAGGCAACTAAAACCCGACTACCCGACTGACTGACAACACACGCAAGCATGCGGCATCGGTTTCCCATGCGGTGACGTCACACCCGCCGGTTCAGCGGATACTCAGCGCACCAGTTTATGATTTTTTTTTGGATGACTTGTAGGCGACATAAAATTCTAATTTTTTTGCAGAGACCCTGAAAATTGCAATAACTTTCCGTTAAGCAAATAAAAAAAAATTGCTGAATGAGCCCATTAGACAATATTTAAAAATTAAAGAATTTTTTCAGTTGCATTGTAAATGACCGAGTTACAATTGGTTTTTGAAAAGATATTTTACATTTATTCTTAATAAAACACAAACGACAATTATCAAATTCTACACTTTGCCCATTTAAGCTTATTTGCTGTATATCTTATAGTTTTCCAAGATCCCTGGCGGGGATAATTAAATTTGGTTAAATTGGATAAAAGGAAAATGGCATGGCAAATTAATAGCATAAACTAATTCTTAATGACAGGCGACCAATAAATATACGACAGATAGTGCAGATAAACACCGTAAAATTAGTAATAGTAGTAGCGAATTCACTATTCACTATTTGAAAAATTCTCCGATATACCTACCTCTCACATTTCCAGGCTTATGAAATTCCCTGATAATTCCTGAGAATTTCCAGATTGGTATACACCCTGCACCATGTTACTCATCTCGTTAATGTGGGTTGAGGATTATGAATGTTCAGAAACTCTCTCCATCACAGCGTAAAATAGCAAGTGTCAGACAATGAGACGTTAAATTTCTTTAGATGTAGCAGCCGTATCAAAGAGCGACGACATATACCTTCTGAACACTCCCACATTTACGCTTTATTAACGCACCAAAGTGACAGGCTCTAATAATGCCTCCTTGCTAATCAAAAGTTTTATTTCCAGCCGCAATACTCATCTTTATCCATTCATTGCATGATGAAAACAAGATAAAGTTCGACAAAGCTACCAATGAAACTAAAATCATCAAAAGTTTACCCCTGTCGTCGTGGTTGCCTTATGACCCGCAGGACCACTACCTCATCAGCTACCTGTGGCTGACATTCGACGGGATGGTGGGAGCTTTTTACATGATGTACACCGACGCCTATAATTTCAATTTGATAATATTTCCTCTTGGCCAGATCAGAATATTGACTCACGTGTTGTCTAACTTCCCCAGATACGTGTTGAAAGTCAAGGATCAGCTCCAGTGCAGCAGGGACGAAGCCAGCTTCGTTACTTTGAGGGAATGCATTTTGAAGCACAAAGGAATTATAAGGTAGGTACGCAGGGTGTAACTTTAAGTGGAGTTTAAGTGATTCAGTGTTTAGTGATTGTTGTCTTCATAGCCAGATTTATGTGTGATATGAAAAAACATTTATACAAATCAAGAAAGATGAATCAGGCAACAACGCATGCAGCTACTCTCAATTCTCACTTGCAGGTTTTGAAGTTATGACTATCTAGCGACGCGGTGAGGTATGAAAATTACGAAAAATAATAAATAAATAAAAATAACTCGATTATTACGACGGAATTTGAGAAAACAAACTTATATGTGTTTCTAAAGGTCAAAGGTATCCTCTGTTCAACAAGGCTACCATCAAAGTTACACCCTGTATGTATCCGATGAGAATCCAAGATAATTCAGAAACTATTAAAGATAGACAGAATTTTAATAAATCCATAAATTAAAATCATGTACATTATTATTGCTTCTTTTCAAATTTTGGCGCAAATGTTTATCACTTCTCACTAAAAAAGTCAAAAAGTTTGATAAAGCCGCCCAGGTTAAGACACTAAGAATAAGCTTACCCTAATCCACCAAAAACCCAAACTAAAACTTAGAACTGAATCTATAGAATATCAAGTAATGATTTGTTTCGAGGAGTACCTACTACGAATGTATGATTCATGATTTCGGAACCGACGACAGAAATCTCATTAAATTCAAAAGTAAATAACTGTGTAGGTCACATCAAATGACGATTTCTATCACAGCTCCATATCAACCAATGGAGGAAAAAACTATTAAATCTATGCCGAAAATTCATATGGGTCAGCTTTTACTATAATTACTGGTAACGGAGTTACACGAATGGTTAAAAATCTCATAGTAGTTAATGTTTAATTTTTTCACCAAACCAGCGAAAAATATCATTTATAGCAATATTTTTGACGGACGGATTTTTGTATAGAAAATAAGTATTCTAAAATTTGAACAATTAACAATAACCATACCATCGGAATAAAAGCGTTTTCATTTTCAGGTACTTGGAAGAGTATAACGACACCATGAAAAATATAATGCTGTTGGACTTCCTACAAAGCTCTCTGCAGTTGGCCTCGATTATGATACAGTTCGTTCTGGTTTGTATGAGATGCACTTTTCAAAAAAGATAAAAAATTCTCTTCTAAAAGTCTGCTCTAAAATTCACGCAAGTAATTTTTTTATTGATTCGTAAAGTATACAGTATAGGCTTATGTATGGAATAGTATATCTGTTAAATCGTAAGATCTGGGCGACCAATTCTGATCACCAAAACGGGAAATTATACGACCACGAAATGACACATGATGTACGGCAATGGGCACCGTCTTGTTGAAACCACATGCCGTCTATATTCATATCTCGCAGTTTAGGCACAAAAAACTAGATTATCTTACGAACACCATTAACTGTTATCGCCTGTCCAGCCCCATTTTCGAAAAAACATAGTCCAATGATCAAAATCCGCACCAAATAGTGATACGTTGTAGATGCATTGTTTCTCAACAATCACTTGTGGATTTTTTTAAATCCAAAGCGCTAGTTTATCGATTACCGAAGCCATCAAGATGAAAATGAGCCTCATTGCTGAATATGAATTTGTTAAAAAAAAAACTACATCCACTTGTTACATAATCCATTCAAAGATCTCTCTTCGCTCTTCAGTTCTTGAGTCAGTTGAACTTTGTAAGCATGAAGATACAAATCTTTCGTGAGAACACGCCGCAGGGAGCTTTTCGAAATATCCAATTCTTGACCACGGTACCTAATTGGTGTCAGCAACACTCCCACGAACTGCTTCGATGTTTTGTGTTGAACGACTTGTTGAAGGACGGCCAGAGTGTTTAAGATCGTAATTGAGCCAGTTTCCTTGAATTTTTCAATTAATCTCTTTATAGTTGAAGTTAAACCACTATTCTACTACTATAGCTATCAAACCTTCATTATTTTAAAAATATCGCTTTACAATGAAAGTGCCTTGTTCTTTCGAGTAGTGCTACATTTTTAATAACCTTGAACTATCAGCTCTCACGCTGTCTTTTTTTCATTGGCAACACTTTACCGCACAAATGGCGCAAAATTCAAATCTTGCGCGAATTTTGGGACAACCGATATTTTCTATTGTTATTCTAATAAGTTAACCCACAGTTTTTATTTAATTATTATACGTTTGTATGCTTTTAAAATATGGTTTGAATAATGACGATAGGGAATATCATTTTAAGCAAAATATTTCCCATGAACATGGGTCCCAAAAAAATTTACGAGGCGATACTTACAGTGCCAAAGCACATATTACACCAAAGACACATTTTTAAAAATAATTCCAAAATGGTCAATCAAATTCAAATGAAACAATACATCCGGTACATGCTAATTGAGGTTAACTAAAGACTTGTATCGAGTATAATTTGGACTTGACATTTTGGAGTTATTCAAAAATATGTCTGGCAGAGCAGTCTTTACCACCTTGTACCTTTTTTTATTAGCGTTTTCAGACCCATGTATATAATAAACATTTTGCTTAAAATGACATGTCTTATTTCACTTTGGCTCCAGGCACGGTGTTCTCTAGGTTGAGATACTTTTTGCAGGATGTAAAACTCTTAAAAATAGTTAAATTTACCAAAAAGTCACGTAGGTACATGAAAATAACAAATTAACGTTCGAGTTTGAAGATCCAGGACTTCATAATTTTCGCGTTTTTTTTTCAGAAGTGTGGTGAAAATATTCGAGCAGTCCTACGCTCTTGACGACTCCCATGCATTGATGGGCATGCGTCATCGTCGTCATGTGACAAGTAGAGAAATCATCACCGTCTTCCCACGGAGGGGGTATAGCGCTATGTTCCATGCGCGGTAGTATCGTCTAATACGTTTGGAACATATTGGAGGCAATTGTGGGCTTCTGCTAGGGGAAACCCAAAAACTTTCGAAACATCGATGAAAGTGTTTTCCCGCCCTGCGTCCTCCGAGCTGCATAGTAGTGATTTGATGGTGGCCTACTATTTGGCGGGAACTGTGCCTTGTGCGGACCTCTCGAAGGATTGTTGAAAATTTTGGAAACTTGGGTGAAAACTATGATTTCTGTTATTTTGACGGAAACTGTGCACCAGTGTGGATTTCTATTGTTTTGGTGGGAACTGCGCCTTGTAGGACTCCTTTTATTAAGACTGAAGGGGTTTTTCAAAACATGGGTGAATTTTCGTCCTGCATATTACGATACTACATACTGTTTTAAAAATACCTCAACTTTGAGAACACTTTATTATGTAAATGTTTTTGTAGAAATTGCAATATCAAGAACAAATATGATACTTTGCATTTTCAAATAATTTTATCATGTTTCAGACAAAAGCAACAGTTTTCAATATCATATTTCATGCAGAATTTGTGTTCTCTATGCTGTTAAGGTTGCTAGTATATTACTGGTATGCCAATGAAATCATGCTGGAGGTAAATAAAAAAATGTACTATATATACAGAAGTGTGACTAATATTCCTACTGACGTTTCCAATTAAAGGGCGTTTTTTAAATTAGTACTACACAAGCGAACATAGGTACCTATGCGAAAACAGTTTAATTTTTTGGTATGCAGGGTGTTTCGCATAAAAACTGACACAAAGCAGGGGCACGTAGGGGAATTCAAAATATGGTGATTTAACGCAACTTATCTTTATACTACGCTGCACCTCTAAGAAGTTATAGGCCTTGAAAGGGGGGTTTCAAATTTCGAAAAAAATCAATACCTCAGTTATACTTGAACTTAGAAAAACCAAATTTTGTACATGGTGTGAGTGTATCAAGAGCATTAATCGACAGTCAGTAGAGTTCAATTGAAGTATGTTTAAGGGTTAATAAGGGATGATGCGCCATTAAAATTTGACAGAATTTTTTAACCCGTTGGCTGATTTAAAAAATTATTACTTTCTTTTATGAGGAATTTAATTCTAAAACTTTTCTTACTCTTATCGGTTTTCAAAAAACTTGACGATCAGGAAAAAAGTTGGAATAAGAGTAATTTAATAGAAAAATGAGCCACTTAAACAACAGAAATACCATACAATTTGCACTGATTATAGAAATTATTCAAATGATCACCGTTTCCTCTCAGGTATAAATTTATTCTTCGTCCTAAATTGAAAATTAACTAAACGGCGAAAGTTATTTAGAATTGCCCAAAACACTCTCCCCGATCTACTTGACGAGGTGCCACTACAACTCAGACTGAAACATTAGTTTATGCATGATGGATATGATGGAGCACCCTCTCATTTTAGTAATATTGTTAGAGATTTTTTAAACCACCAGTATCCAAATAAATGGATTGGAAGAGGAAATAATTGTCCACAAGTTTGGCCTCTACGATCACCAGACCTCAACAAATGTGACTTCTTTCTTTTGGAGAACGTTAAAAGAATTTGTGTATTCCTCGCCAGTTGCGTCTCGAGCAGAATTGTGAAACCGCATTACGGATAAATGCATATTTATCAAAAACAATCAGCAGTTATTGGATAGATTAGACTTCAAGTTTCGATGAGAGAAAACGGTGATGATTTTGAACAATTTCTGTTGTTTAAGTTGTTTGTTTTTCTTTTAAATTATTCTTATTCCAACTTTTTTCCTGATCATCAAGTTTAACGTTTAAATTCATAGCCAACTTTTCAATTTTCGATGATTTTAAATAACAGCTACAATACATATTATTAGTTATTAGTGTTTTTGTTGAAAACGACAGTTTTTTGAAAACTAACAAGATTAAAAAAAGTTTTAGAGTTAAATTCCCTATAAAATAAAGTAATAATATTTAAGTCCGCTAACGGGTTAAAAAATTCTGTCACATTTTAAAGGGGCATCATCCCTTATCAACCCTTTAAAATGCTTCAATTGAACTCTACTTACTGATATAGCATACAGGGTGTTTATTAATTGAATGCCGATACTTAAGGGTGTGAATCCTTGGGTCATTTTAAGAAGAAAACTTAATATCAACATATGTCCTAAACCTCTTAATTTTTGAGCTACAGGGTGTTACAGTTTTAAGAAAAAATTTACTTTTTTATTATAATTTTCTTATCACTCCAGATATTTTTATGAAATTTTGTACACACCTATTAATCATTAAGGAGCATTGTTTGATGTAAAAAATGTTTTAAAATCTTTGCCAATGACGTCCGTACGAGGTTTGAACTAAACATTTTTGAAGAAAAAAATGGTACGCCACTGCTTTTTCTAAAAACTAAAATTATTTTTAAAATCTCCATTTATTTTACAGCAAATTCGGTCCCTAGACTTACTCTCGTACGACGCACCATTTGCACGTAAAAAAATGAAAACCAAAAAAAGTTTTTTCCCCAAGTTCATTGAGACTGCTTTTGATATTTTGTTGCCATTTTGTAGACACCCACCATGCGTGGAAACACTTTTTGTGGGGCAAAAATTAATTTTCTACTTTCACAAATGACGTTCACGTAGGCATAATATTAAATGTTTGGATAGAAAAAACGGTAAGCTCATTAAATGCCCCCTTAAAGCAAATGAAATAAAAATTAGTAGGCTGGGTAAAGTGTCATAATTTTTGACGCTTCTTTTCGCAATAAAGTTGACATTGATTTTTCATTATTAAAAAATTATTAGAGTAGGAGGTAAAATCTCATAAAAAATGGTAAATTTTACAATCGGTGAATTAGCTGACATGCATTTTACTTATGGGGTTGCCGACGGAAATGCATACGAAGCCAGGAGGATATACCAAGAGCGGTATCCAAATCGCGTACTACCCGATCCGAGAACATTTTCTGGGATTCATAGACGTCTTCACGAAACCGGAAATTTAAAAGTAGACCACAGTGCTAAAGGAGTCCCTGAAACAGTAAGAACACCGGAACTTGAAGAAGGAATTTTACATGAAATTGAGGAGAACCCCGAAACTAGCACGAGGAAAATCGCGGCAACATTTAATGTTTCACACGTACTTGTTTGGAAAATTCTTATTGAAAATTTGTTATATCCATATCACATTGCAAGAGTCCAGGCATTACTCCCTAGAGATTTCCCAATGCGCATTAATTTCTGTGAGTGGTTTCTTCAAAAGCTGCTGGAAAATCCGTTATTTGACAGGTACATCATTCTTTTTACCGATAAAGCTAGTTTTTCTCGAAACTCAATACGAAATTTCCATAATAACCATTTGTGGGCGGATGAAAACCCTTTTGCAATTGTTGAATCAAATCATCAAGAACAGTTTTCAATAAATGTTTGGGCTGGTATTATTGACGATTATTTGATAGGCCCATTTTTTCTCCCAAGAAGATTAGATGGACAATCGTATTTACACTTTCTTGAAGAAGATCTGCCGCCAATGCTTGAAGACCTTCCTCTTTTATTAAGAAACCAGATGTGGCTAATGCACGATGGTGCGCCTCCACATTTTAGCTTACGGGTGCGTGAATTTTTAAATCACAACTATCGCGATCGGTGGATAGGCCGCGGAGGAACGCAGTCATGGCCGCCCAGATCTCCCGACCTTAATAGTTTAGACTACTTTTTCTGGGGTCATCTGAAAAGCTTAGTGTACGCAGTGCCGATTCAAACCGAAGAAGAGTTACGAAATCGTATAATAGTATGCTGCCAAACCATAAGAGACACCCCAGGAATTTTTGAAAATGTACGTCAGTCTATGCGAAGAAGAGTAGATGCTTGCATACGTGTGGGTGGAGGACACTTTCAACAACTACTGTAAATACATAATAAATACATTATGACACTTTACCCAGCCTACTAATTTTTATTTCATTTGCTTTAAGGGGGCATTTAATGAGCTTACCGTTTTTTCTATCCAAACATTTAATATTATGCCTACGTGAACGTCATTTGTGAAAGTAGAAAATTAATTTTTGCCCCACAAAAAGTGTTTCCACGCATGGTGGGTGTCTACAAAATGGCAACAAAATATCAAAAGCAGTCTCAATGAACTTGGGGAAAAAACTTTTTTTGGTTTTCATTTTTTTACGTGCAAATGGTGCGTCGTACGAGAGTAAGTCTAGGGACCGAATTTGCTGTAAAATAAATGGAGATTTTAAAAATAATTTTAGTTTTTAGAAAAAGCAGTGGCGTACCATTTTTTTCTTCAAAAATGTTTAGTTCAAACCTCGTACGGACGTCATTGGCAAAGATATTAAAACATTTTTTACATCAAACAATGCTCCTTAATGATTGATAGGTGTGTACAAAATTTCATAAAAATATCTGGAGTGATAAGAAAATTATAATAAAAAAGTAAATTTTTTCTTAAAACTTGTTGATATGAAGTTTTGTTCTTAAAATGACCCAAGGATTCACACCCTTAAGTATCGACATTCAATTAATAAACAACTCTATATTTATAGTATAAAGTCTAGTCTAGTATAAACTCTATATTTAACCAACATAATTAAAATTTATCATTATAAATTATGTCACGTAAAAAATACTCATTGTGGCAACTGTAAGAGTCGATTTCTTTATATATTCGACTTACAAATACCTCGTTTACACAGATATGGTCCAACAACATTGTTTCCCGACATTCTGTTACTGTTCCTTCATAGCCTAAATCCGTAAAATGTTTAAATAATACTATTATTAATTTGGGAAGCATATAACCCTAACGACAATATTTTTAAATTTCTTTAAGTGTACCGGCCCAAATCGACATCTAAAATCAATAAACAAACGTAAGCTTCGGCCCACAATATTCATTTATATGAGTTAAGAGTGTCTGTGGATTCACAGGCACCCTTACCTCTCTCACAAATGCCACTGATGACTTTGCACATTTAAATTGCATTTCACAAAATATCACCTACCTAAATTCTATTACGTTAAATAACAGCTGACTTATTTTAGAGTATCAACGTGTCTACAGCCATTTACGAGTGTGGTTGGTACGATGAACCCAAAAAAGTAAAACAAATGATGCTGCTTATGATTCAGAGGGCTAATAAAGTGCTGAAGTTGGATATAGGTCCCTTCACCACGATGACTTTGGGAACATTTCTAAGTGTAAGTATTTTTTGTAAGTATTCTAAAAAATTATTTTGAAACTGTGCGTAAAGTATTAAGTTCACACATCTTGTACGCGATGCGATGGGTTAATTTGTCCTATTTCCTTAGAAGACAAACAAAATAAGTTTAAGGCTCAATTTTCCAGAGAACTTGCAACTTAGAAGTGACATCCCGATATATTCACTCCTTTAAGACTTACAGGACATTGATTTTTTTATGATAAAGGATTTTTTATGTATGGAAATTTTGCATTTCTGTAAATAGGTTTTGGTTGTCGTTTTCTAGAAAATCAAGCCCGGAAGCCCAAAACTTCTTAATTGAAAAGTGTCACTTTACACACTCATAAATATTTCAACGTTTTATGTACGAAACAATTTTTTTTCTAATTATTCTAATTTTTAGATACTAAAGGCCTCTTATTCTTACTTGACGGTTATGTATAGATAAGTCAAAAGAAAAAACATTTACTTGGATTGACAACTTCAAGATATGGTTCACAGACTATAATGTTAAGTACTACATGTTACACATTTTTAATATATTTATTAAATAGTTGCAATTTTTATAGATATTAGCATAGGTATCTATATTAATACAGCATTCACACTTTCACTTATAACATTACACATACTAATAAAACAACCTGTTATTTGAAAAATGTTTTATTTACTTTCAAATAGTTACTTCAAATATTTTTGTACTGAAATATCGACTGAGATATTTTTTACTTTTCTCATAGCTTTTGACATAAGCATAATTCAATGGTGAAAGACGAATTATTAGATGATTTTGGAAACTAAAATCTAGGAATCAATTCTAAGCAAACTGTACTGTCCGAAACCTTAGCTTCCACATAAACACTGCAACGTAATTCTTTTTAACGAGGTAAAAACTTAGCTACTTTGCTTTGCAAATGCCATTTTACCTGCTCTTACCCTGTATCATCCTGTTCGCACTTGCTGTGTGTGTGAACTGATGATTTTCAAGACTCGTCTTATATTTAGTTTCAAAACTACATGCATCACACTTGTACATTTGGATTTCCGTAGGGTCTTTGTGCGACAACTGTTGCATTTTTAGACTACTCTTATATTTGGTTTCATAACTACACAATTCACATTTGAACATTTTGATTTCTGAACTATTTTTGAGCAATAACTGATGCACTTTTAGATATTGTTTATACTTAGTTTCAAAATTACATGTTTCACACTTGTACATTTGGATATCCGATGGGTTTATGTGTATTAACTGATGCAATTTTAAACTACTCTTAACCAAGGATTCATAATCACACGTATCGCACTTGTACATCTTCATTTCTGAAGGATTCCCATGTGATAACTAATGCATTCCTATACTCTTCTTACATTTAGTATCACACTTGTACCCTCCGATTTCTGAAGGTTCTTTGTGTGATACCTGATGCACTTTTAGATATCTCCTAAATTTAGTTTCATAACTACACATATTGCATTTGTTTATTTGAATTTCTGAAGAGTCTTTGCGTGTTAACTGATGCATTTTTAAATGTCTCATACTTTGTTTCAAAACTACATGTATCACATTTATACAGTTGAATTTCTGAAGAATCTATGTGTATTAATTGATGTTTTTTGATATTCGGTTTATATTTAGTTTCATAATCACACAAATCACACTTGTACATTTGGACTTCTGAAGCATCTTTGTGCGTCAACTGATGATTTTTTAGACAATTCTTATGTTTAGTCACGTAAGTACATGAATCACACTTGTACATTTGTATTTCTAAAGATTCTTTGTGCATTTACTGATGCAATTTTAGATGTTTGTCATATTTAGTTTCAAAACTACACATATCACACCTGTACATTTGAATTTCTAAAGGGATTTTATGGGACAACCGATGCCTTGTCAGATTACTCTTATATTCCGTTTTATAATTGCACATATCACACTTGTACATTTGGATTTCTGAAGGGTGATGGAGCCTTGATTGATGAAATTTTAGACGACTCTTAGATTTGGTTTGAAATGAACAAGTATCACATTTGTAAAATTGGATCTCTGAGGAATATTTGTGTGTTAACTTATGCCTCTTTACACTAACCTTATATTTAGCTTCATATGTACAAATATCACACTTGTACATTTTGATTTCTGAAGGGTCTTTGTGTGATATCTGATGCACTTTTAGATATGTCTTCAACTTAGTTTCATAGGTACACATATTGCATTTAACATTTGAATTTCTAAAGCGTCTTTGTGTTTCACTTGATGCATTTTTATGTATCTTTTATACTTTGTTTCAAAACTACACTCATCACACTTGTACATTAGAATTTCTGAAGAATCTTTATGTATTAATTGATGTTTTTTGATATTTGGTTTATATTTAGTTTCATAATCACACAAATTACACTTGTACATTTGGGTTTTTGAAATGTATGAAAAATCTTTACTTATTAACTGGTGGCTTGTGGATCTTTGCTTATAATGTACAAGTTCTAGAGCAGCTTCCTGTTTTAGACCATTGTTACTGGTCTGTAACTGGTTTTCATACTGACTACTGTATGACGGGACCTTTGAAAAAGCCTCAGGTTTGCTTATTTCAACTTCCCCCATCTCACATATATATACGATTTCATTGTTTATTTCTCCTACATCTTCATTCGTGTGCCTCATTATGTTTCCAATTGTTTCATTATGTAAGTTGTACGAAGGCGAACCACTGAAAAAATTAAAATTGATCACAATGGCGTAAATATTATCAATAAACTATTTTCATTGTAAAAACACTATTTTTACGCAGACTTCTATGTTCCAGTTAAAAAGTAAATTTCACAAAATAAATTATTCTTTTGTTTCACATTCACCATCCCCAAAGCTTATCTGCACCTTCTTTTATTTGTAGTCTACACTGAGATTTTAATTTTAAAAATTTATCATTGTAAAAGTTTCCCCACCACACTGACAAGGCAGCAAGTAAGTAAATATTAGATCATGATTTATAGTATACATTTTATAAGAATCTACTATAATAATCCTCATCAGTTAAGTGCTAAAAAAATAACTGATTTACTGACTTTATTGACCAGTTTGCACATCCCTGGAGCACATTAATTTCCACTTTAAAGAGATATTTAGTTTAAATCATGCGTGTTTTTTAATATTAATATAAAGATATGCTAGAAACCAATTAATAATTATCTAAAATAATAGAACTTGATTTGATTTAGCTTAATACATGGTAGTGAAAATTAATAGGTATTAGCTTGGTGCGTAAAATAAATGTTTTCAACGGATGTTTGCTGCCGCGTTAATTCGTCACTTAGTGCGATCGGGAATCCTAGAGACAGCCAAATTCACTTGGCTTCTCGTTTCGCATGGAAATTGTAGACGGCAGACGGCTGATAAACAGGGTGTGTTCTCGGTCGCACTAAATGACGAGACAATGCTTTCTTTTTCAATTTCTACATAATTTTAATAACTTTAATTTGCAGGTTTAAAGAAATTATTTTGTTATCATTGCTAGTTGTCACTTGTATACTATATACTACTATTATTTAAAATAAGAATAAAAGATAATTATTCAATACCAGTTATAGGCTACAAATGTATACAGTTCTCAAAGAAATTAAATCTTCATGCAAGTTGCCTATTTGAGGGAGTTAAAAAAACTTTTGGAAAAAATTGTATAAAAAATTAAATCAAACTAAATTCTATTATGTGGAAGTACAAAATGAACCAGTCTTGAAAAGTATGACTTTTAATTTTAATGTCACACGCAAATGACCAATTATTATTTTTAACTGCTTACTAACTAAATCTGCATAAATGCTGATAAGTGTTTAGCTAAAGGAAAGTCTAAAGAAAATCATCGATATTCTATCTAAGCAATTCAATTGTAACTTTCTTAGTTGCAGTTTTAAAAATTAAACAGCTTATTGTTAGTATCAAAGATCTAGAGGTTTTGATCTTGGAAGCGAGCCAACCTTCTTGGTAGAAAATTGAGAAGCTATTGGTAAATAAGAATGTATAAGATGGTCCATTTGGCTTGAGATTGCAGGGTACAGGCAAGTTGATAAAAAAAAAACACAAATTTAGACAATCCCTGCTCTCTTTATATAAATACAGGAAGAAGGAAATACAAAGAGGACTTCTCAAGATATACATATTATCCCAATATTTTTCAACTTTCTCACCTTTCCCATTCTTCTCCTTCAAATTTGATATCAATTTCTTCAGTTTTGATCAGTGCATGTTTCATCCGTCTCTAGCTCTTTTTCAATTTTAAACCCTTCCTTCATCTTTCCGTCTCCTAACTCAATTTCATTTCCAGTTTTACTAAACATACTACTATACTTGAAACCTGTGATTATCTTGTCACCTATATTGTGAATTTTTGCTTCAACATCCAAACAAATCTTTATGAAAGTACCATGAACACCGGGTGAATCAAAACATTTCCTACAAACGATGGGATCTTCAGTGATGGAAAAATTCTATGACAAAAAAGGTTGTTAAGGTACTGATACAGGTATAAGATTTAAAATGGGTGTAAAATGGATAATTACCACTTCTGGGATATATCTACGAATCGTCACGAAGTTCATATCTTGAAATGGCACAAATCCTTCGCTAACTAACTGTAAACATAATCGAGATATTTTCTGATCGTCTTCCATTTTATCTAAAAATCTGTTCCCCAGTTTCATGAAATAAACATCTCTTAAGTCAACAAAGGGCACTTTAGGATTAACGTAAGCAAGAATCTTTTCTTCAACGTAAAGACAAGTGGATTTAAAGTCGAATGAAGAATACAGTTTTATAGAACATGTACGACACATGACATGTCTATATATCTCGTCTAAGTTCTAAAATATTTTTACTGGTAGAGTAAGGTAATGTAATGAGCAGTAATAATGTACATCTGCTACTTTGAGCTCACTTTAAAAGCGAGTTTCCTTAGTCTGGAAAATTAGTATACAGTACAACTTACCAGATTAAGTGAAACAGTCTTTAAAACTTGTAGTTTCGTCTATCTCTGTAAAATGTTCATTGCTCACAGTATTATTGCAAAGCCTACAAAATATTTCCTTAGAACCTTCCATTTTTCATTTATGTACTTATTATTTTTCCCTTTTAGTTTATCCTAAACTTAAAATATAAACATTATAGAATTTATAACCTCATACCTCATCCTCATATACCATTCATATTTATCTGTTACAAATTAGTGATGGGAGATTTCGAGTGAAAAATCGAGTGGTACTCGATTATTGAGATCACTCGAGATATCTCGAGATGTTTACTCCCACCACTCGAGTGATTAATTACCCTACGGTTGCACCCCAAAATGTTAGTGCATACTGCAAATAGTCACTGATTGCGTAACCTTTTTTTTTAGAATAAAACGAAAAAGTGGTCAGGTTTTGAAGTGGGTTTTTTTTTTTAGCTACGCTTATAAGTAATATATGACTAATACAAACATATTTATGCGCCGCTGGGATGAAAATGACCAATATCTCGTATCTCGAGTGATCACTCGATTATTAGAAGTACTCGATTACCGATAACTCGATTATCAAAATTGGTCGATTATGCCCATCACCATTACAAATCGCGTGCAGACATACGTTCAAAGCACTGAATTCGATTAAAATCTTCGAACGCATATATGTTCGAAGATTAATATTAAACTACTATATGTGTTTCCGAAATTTTCCTCAGTTTGATAAAGTGACTATCTTTATCCTTTTTATTATTGTGGTTTTAGAGAAAGAGAATTATCTGTCCATAGCTGCTTTCCAATT